CAAACCCCCCCCCCCCAACCACTTTCATCACTAATAGTCCCGTACTCCTGACTAGCCTCTTCTTCCGCTCCTCCATCTTGCTCTAATCCGTCGCCCCCGGATACTTACCCACCACCACTCTCCGATCATGCCAACCTTCCCCCCTGCACCTAGCGCCTCCAACCGCGCGTTCCAGTTGCGGTGCACTGGGTAGCGTCATCTAACAGTCCTGGCAAGGTGCCAAACGGAATCGGCCAGCCTCGCTCTGAAATAGCGTTAATAAGGAGGTTAAGTATCGGCCGAGCCGAGTTTTAGCAAGCGCCGTTTTTTGCATGAAACCCGGATGATTTTCCGGTGAATGCTCGCCCGTTGGAAAAATGCAAATTTGGAGGGTGTTGGAAGAGGATTATGAAATCTTCAAAATGCACTTGTTTTTGAGTTTGCGATAAAACTAAGTACTTGTCATGACTGCGTGCAAGGTATTTTCACCTCAAAGCTGAATAAAGACCATACGTAAGTGCAGAATATCTTTGCAAAGTTTTAGCTTCGCAACTGATCTGGCAAGCGAAATAGCCACTTTGCTAAAAATATCTTTGAAGTGCCCGAAGTTGTGGCGCAAGTGCAAACTGAAACTCAATTTAGGTATACGATTTTCTATATGAAATCGAAACTCAGTAAATAAAAAATATTCTGACAGAATTTCAGATACCGTTTTTAGGCTAGTTTCCGAGTTAGCACAGTACCAACTGAGCACTTTGACGTAAACTTACGCGCAGTACAAGCGTGGGTGATGAAACCTCAAGGTCGTACACGTATAGAGAATATCCCTGCAAATTTTCAGTTTTCTATTTTGCCTGAAACACGAAATCATTTCCCGTCAAAGAAATATGCATATTTTTTTCGGGGGTTCATACGCGAGATTTAGGCGCGTATGAGCGAAGATTTTAAAACCGGAGGTTGGGGATCGTGACAGATGGGATGGGAACGTGCCTCCAAAATTCCAGCGTCCGAGCTTCCCTGGCTGCTGATTTGAAAGTGGGTGACAAAGTTCATCCGCTTACGAGCACACGCACACGGGCGATCTCTCGACAGTATGCATTTTGGCCCACTGTAGCAACGCTTTAGCGCTGCACAGAAAAGACGCAAAGAAAAAGCTGTAGTTGTGACCTCTAAAATTTCTGGCGCGCAGGCTGTTTTAGTTATTTTTCCATAGCAAACCAGGATCTGGCATGACGTGAAACCTTTTTCAGGAATATGAAAAATGCAGTAAATCCTGGCGCTACAGCACTTTCTAAACAGCAGGCTGTGCATCAAAATAGTAATAACAATGTTGTACATCCAGCTACAGCAACTACAACTGCAACAACTACCACCACTATTACCACAACTTCCGGTAGCGTTACCGTACCCCCGGTACCGCAGGCAAGTCTAGCAAGGTAAATATTTGTTCATCTGCCCATTAATTAGTAGCTCCGCTTTTTAGTTAGCAAAGAAAACTTTTTGCTCATCGATGAAAATGCACGAAATTTGTTTTAAATATCTTAGAATTTTAAATTGTTGGGTTTTACCTAGTATTCTAAGCCGCTGTATTCTTTTCAGAATAAATTCTGATAAGTAACACAATATCCCCTTATTTTATTATATTTTTTCTATCATGTATGTTGAAATTGAAATACTTCTAACATAATTGAAATTGCCACGATATATTGTCAGAAGCCAAATAAATTTTTGGACTTCTCTCTTCCTTCAAACTTCTCCAAATCCCCTGCCACCGACATCCACCATTTCCTCTTCAAAGGATTTCTGCAATAGACAAAAGTTTCAATATGCACAGACCAGCATCAAATTGAGAAACACCCAAAGAATATCCATGCGAAAATCCCGTTGTTAATGAGAAAAACCGTAGTGCCTGCTTAAATTGCAAAAATAAGTAAAGGAATACGTGCTGAATTACAAGTGAGTTGCAAGCAAGTGCTTTTTATATGATTACAAAAACAGCTTACATGAAAATTTTAAATTTGATAAATGAGGCCAAATTAATCAAATTAATTTTTAATCAAATTAATCAAATTTTAAATTTGATTAATTTGATTAAAAATTCCCCTTTCTTCTATAAACTCACTATCGGTGGTTTCTGTCCGTCACTTTTAATTTTAATTAAGTCAACTGATTCATTTTGGGCAGTAAATGAATTATTTGAACAACTGAACAAAAAGTATTTAATTTTAAACAGTCAGTTAAATAATAATCAGTTTCGAACAGCTAGTTAATTACAAAAATTTTTAATACATATATTAGAAATAATCACTTTGCAGCATGCAGAAGGATTCAGCCGATAGCCGATCATTTTCGATCAAAAGGCCGCTTTCATTCATTTCAAATTTAAGGAATGCTCAGGTGGACTGCATTAACGATGAAGTTGTTGTTTGTGACGAGAAAATTTTGTATCGTTTGTAAGTTACAATAAAGTGAATTTCGACTAAATCCTAATTTTATATGTAGCTATGCCCGACATTCTATCGCATTTCATTACCATGAGGATTCCCACGCAGCAGTTCATGTATTTGATGACGGCGGATCTGAATTTGATACTCTCTAAGGATTTCTGTCAAAGGCAGAGATAGTCGAAATATGCAGTACTTTGGTTCAAGCGGTATTCAAAAGTGACTGGTTGCTGACAATGCCGGCGATTATTCTTTCTTCTAAGAATTTATTGACTTGGTAAATGGGTGTAAAATGAACAAATCATATTCTCGGAGTTGTGTGTTCTGCTGGGAATGACTATGTTCTGCTGGGAATGACTGACTATAGCACTTAAATATACGTTTTTTTGCTTCTTCACTAAAAATACCTAAATATACGCATTTCCAGTGAAGAAGCACTTTACTGGTGCCAGCCCTACTTGAATGTTTGAAAAACACTTTTGATTTATTCAGACCCGAAGTGAGCAGTGCGCTGGAGCGTGAAAGTACGGCACCGTGCGTATCACCGGAAATCTCAGATCCGGACGCGGAAGAACAGACACCGTTTAGAGCCGTTCACATTCCATTCATCGATTTGGACAGCTTAACTTCTTTGGTAGGGCACGACGATGTGTACGAAATACCGCCCAGAATTGAGGTATTTGTTTTGCCCTTTTCAAACTGCTCCTATTTTGAGCATGTTAATTGTAATCAAAACTTCGTATTCACTTTCTACGTGACACAAAAGCATTCTGAAGTATTTCGTAATTAGTAAGTCTGATGATGGCTCCTTCAAGTCTTATCCGCTGTTTTCTAAAAATTTTTTCGAAATTTGAGGTCGTTGAAGAGCCCAAACATCGCCTAGCAACAACGGAAGAAGTCAAACGACCGCTACTTACGAGCGCCAAAGTAACTCGAAGAAAGCGTTCATCGCAAGGAATTCGGAGTATTGTCAGTGTTGTGCGGACACGAAGTTTGCGGAGGTTAAAAAAACGCTCCTGGAAGCAGGAATGCAAATCACGATCCGAAAATCGTGCACGAAAAGTAAGCCACTAAAAAACTACAACAAAACTGAAATTCAGACTAGATTTTCCGGGCCAAGGATAACACTAAAGAAAAACAACTTTTCCCCTAGTTTTAAAAAGTTCCCTTTTTCAGGCCTTACGTACGATCACGTTCATCCTCGGAACATTTACTGTGCTCTGGACTCCATTTTACGTGCTGGCCACTGTTCTGGGTTTCTGCGACTCATGCAAAAATTCGAAGGTGTTCAATTTGTTCTTCTCGATCAGCTACCTTCTGTGTTACATGAACAGTCCGATCAATCCATTTTGTTATGCGATGGCTAATCAGCAGTTCAAAAAAACACTGACACGCATTTTTCGAGGTGATTTTAAGCGTACATAGCACAGCCTCAGATTTTTGATTGTTCAAAATCTCAATATCTGTGAGCTAAAACAGTCAGCTTGCTTCTAAGCAAATCCCAGAAGAAAAAGCCGCTGGTAGCCTTGTGAGCGGATAATTGCAGTTAGCAGTATGATACCTATCGAATTAGTTCCGGATGACGTTGGCTCTCATAAGGAGTGATCTGTAGAGAATTTTTGCTTGAAACTTGAAGTTTATTTATGCTTGAAAGTTATTGCCTTTAATTCAAATTCTTTGTCCTACTTGTGAAAGATTAGTTTCGTTAATCTGCACTGGTACTTTGATCAGTTGTAATTCACAGCTTTTTTCTTCAGCTGACATTCTCTCCACTTGCCTTGACCAGTGCCGCATCGCTTGATGGTCAGCTTGCTGACCATCATCAAATTTGATATGTGAGTTTTATAGACACTTATATATTGTGTTAAGCCGTGAGGAAAGAGACTGGTTGAAAACGCGGCCTCACTACATTCTTATTTTGGCGCAAATATCTAGTCAGTTACCCAGCGCCAATCGGTGACAAGTCGTAATTTTCGACAATAAAAATTGCTTCCAGATTTATTTGTATTTTGGAGTTTGCTTTAATTTTTTCCATAATTTTTCAAAGCGAAAAGTGAAACAAGGCCTCACTCGCAACTACACTTTTTTTGCTTGGAACAAGTAGGATTTGACAATCGGTGGGGACCATTTATCGCGTAAAGGAAAATGACCACTTGGGTGAACTCCGAAGAGGCGAACATGCAAGTAACATGGGAAGGGCATCAGCTGTGGAGAACCAAATGAGCCACTGGCGTATAATGAGGGATCAAACCAGCTATCAACTTGCTTGTTTGTAAGCAAAGTGCGAAGAACAAGCCGCCTTGTCAACCAAGCTCGTCACACTGACACTTGCTACCTTCGGTATAGTTCCGAATGGCTCCGCTTCTCATATGAAGTGTAACTTTTTACTAGCTGCTGGTATGCAATTTGGGGTCTTGCTTTGGCTGCAACGGTTGTACAATAACATCAATAATGTCAAATCTGCATATCAGCTGCTCAACAGTTCTTGGCTTTCCTTATTAATCATGCCTTCACTATTTGCTTCCACTTTAACAGCGCCAAAAAGCAGCAGTCGGAAGTTTGGGGAGATTGCTTTTAAAACAAACACTGCTCGCAAACAGAACAGCGATAGCTCCTTTTTCAAAATTAGCTTGGAAAAGCAGGCTGAAGATGATTTGGTTCCGCAGTTACCTTAATACAGTTTCACTAACAAATAAGAAGTGGAGAAATCGGTTTTCTCAGCGCCTGTTTCCTAGTCAAGAGAAACACACTGTCAGAATGATCCTTCACAAAGAGTTGATTTTTCGCTCCGGCGTGGTAGATAACTGCTTTAGGTAACTTTTAATTTCTTGTTAAGTTTTTAAGTACAGACATATACAAATAAAGTACTAGCCATTACAAATACTTCAAAAGCTGCATTTACCGTGATACTACAAGTTTTACGGATGGCAGATGAGTGATAAAGCAGATTGTCAATAGCAACCGCTATTGGCAATGTGCTTTATCACTTTGAGGCAGCCAGTAGCAAATCTAAATTATCCTTGGATTTTGAAGGGTGGGAAGGATATCGTATTTCATGAGTGACGAGGTAATCTGAAGCTGTTTTTACTCAGTTACTTTGCAATTCAGTCCGAATTTTTCGATTTTTTGATTAAAGTGCTAGTTAAGAAATCGAATAATTCAGATTGATTGCGAGGCCAAAAATTACTGTAATTACGCACTTTTACTGCAACGACAGTATGTTTTTTCTTCGATTCGACTCCGGGTATTGCTAGTTAGTGAATGAATTATTTGCTATTGTATTTTGATATGCACTCGCTTGCATATACTGTGATATAACGCAGCAATTTGTTGAAACTGTCGGTGATGCGCTTTTTCTGGCACTTTGACAGTTTTTGACAATTTGAAAATGTATAATTTTATGTTATTGTTGTAAAGTCATTCAACACTTTTTTCCTCACGAAAAAGCCGTCGTTACTAATCGGCCCTACCGCAGGCAATTTGCATATTTATCACTCCGATCCCAGAATGCCTTGGCTATTCACCCTCCCACCGCTCTGGCGAATCCCGGAGTCTTTTGTGCATTAGTGTAGAGATGTAAGAGGTTTTTTTTGCGTCGACGGAGAGATGAGAAAGAGGTTTCATCCGGACAGTAAAAATGTTAAATTCACTGCATTGCTGAATCACATAAAATGAAAAAAAAAAGGTAAAACTGTTGTCAATGCAGCGCTGAGTCCAAAGGCCTTACGCAAATGTGCCGAAACATCCCAATAGCATCACTTAGTTGGGGTATTCAACTAGAAGGCCAGATGTTCTAGGTTCTATCAAATGCCGTTTCGCCTGATCTCTCGTACTCCGGAAGCTTCAAATCAAAAGCACTATGACTATAGCCCTCTGAATCACTTTTACTGCCATGATGCTCATTTTGACATTTAGTTTGAATTAAACGTTTGCTGGTTTTCGTGATGAATGTTATTTGCCAATATTATGCGTTTGATATGATGATCTCCAGTAAAAACGATATGTGAAAATGAGAGAAACATAGAATCACATTAAAATCAAAATCCCCGTTTTTATGCGTTTTTGCATATATGTAAATTGCAAAAACGCATATTGGGAAGAGGCTGTCTGT